GGTTTTCTCATGCTATGAAGAGATTGGATGCACATGACCTGGCTTTCCTGAACCGATGTCAAACGTCATGAAGGATGATGTCTTTACCCATGTATTCCCCTATTCTATCCTTCCACTACTTTCAACAGTATTGTTAGTATTGAAACTGGTCTGCATCAGGCTGGATCTGTTCTACATAGCCCCTCGAAGAACGTAAAGAAAGGTCTTCTTTCATTCTCTTGTGAGATTTTCCTAATCTAGTGAGTGCCCAAACAGGTTACACAGCGGTGTGCTAATGACTTCTGGGCATTTTGTTAGGATTAAAGGTTGGGTGTTGTCACATCCTGGTGAATTTCCTATGGTCAAGGATTTCAATCTCTAACCCGTGAGTTATTCGAATACTTCCTTGAACCTCAACTGGTGCTGGAATTGACAGTTGTTCCGCGGTTATGTCCTCCTATTTTCGTTTGTTTACAAAGTTGGCATTGAAGATCTCAGACATCTCTAAATTAGTGGGATCTTCAACAGTTGACTTTAGAAGTACAGTTCTCTTAGTTTATGGGCTTTCTCACAGTCATGTATCTGTAGAAATACTTTGGGTTAGCCTGCGTTTGGGCCGCTAGTTTGACCTGGAAATATCTGCTGCTTCGGAATTTGGCGTTAAATCTGTTTCTCGATGGAGAGTATGAGCTACAATCAGATTCCATCAAGGAAACCTTAGACTTGCGCCAGGCTCTCCGTCCGGCCTGTAGCGAATGTTATGTGCCTCGCTTAATCCAGGATTTTCACTTTTCAGAGGTGTGTTTACCCCATTACATGTTGTGTCTGATACTGTTGTGAATGATGCCCCCCCCCACTATCTCCACTGTTATTCTCAACCACTTCAGTTATCATGACGATGCTCACTCATCACCATATAGTCTGCACTAGGCCAGCCAAGGCGGGAAATATTTTCATCCTGCCCAAGTTTCTCATTTGTGATCACATCAAACATAGCAGTCACTGCTCCTCATTGGTTTCGGACACGAACAACTTCCAAATCCATCCGATCCGGAAGGTCATGTAGTCTACATCGAAGCAATGCCTGTATAACTCAAGCACATCGATTTATTTGGTATTATGTAGTGTAAGGTCTTTTAAGCGTAAGTTTATTTACATTTCCTCCCCACCTCCTCTTTTGTGTACCACTTGGTGTCAAAATATTGTCATGTCTTGCGAGCTCACTACCTCATTCATTTTATCAGACGATAGCAATTTACGGCTTTGACCTTCAGGTTTCACTATAAAAATGCGTTTCTCGTCTCTCCTAGTTTACCTCCTAGTCCTTCTACGTTGCCACAGGGGTGGATGGCAGTTTATATCAGCATCTGATGCCCCTCTAAAGCAGCATCTGTCCTCTGATTTCTGTGATAGTTAATGTTTTGGGGAGATTGGCAAGTTCTGTGTGTATATATATGGCGTTCACCATCAAATGAATCTCGGCTTCTGTGTCCTGTAATCCAGGAGGTTGATCAAAATATACCGGCAACAGGGTTTGTTTGGTTTGGCCGTTGCCTCATCGACCTAGGTAGGCCTTCACAACATGTGGTGTGTCTGGAGAGGCCAATCCTTGAGTTGTACTAAGCCTGAACGAGCGCCACTTGTTCATCTTAGTTTTTAAGCTCACAACCAATAGCTGTGGCGTTTTAATGGCTGTGAAGTGCGACGGGTGAGTTAGTCTGGACACACTACCATGGTGACGTGTAGGTCTTGCTATGTGATAGCCAAAGCCACTGTTATCAATCCAACTACCTCCTACCAGCTGAAATGCTGTGTGATTCCCCACGCTCGCTGGTTCTTGGTTTTTGTTGGAGATATTCTAACGGCATTTCTTACGGTTCATGGTGTATTTTCTAATTCGGATTTGAGACAGTCGCTTAACTGACGGCCTCTGGAATGTCTGTAAATTGTCTTTTGTAACCTTTGGTGAACACAAAGTTACTGTTGATCTAGAAAGATGAACTTTCTCTACACTTTAGTTTCTATGCAGGTTGCATCGTTCGACCGAAGTAATGCCCATTCTCAGCATTGCATGGTGATTATCCGACTGTTCTATATCAAAAACTACCCTACCTCCTAACAAGCTACTTTCTGACCGTAGAACATTAAATAAGATCAGTGAGTTTTGTCTAGAGCAATTATCCTCCATTTTTAGTGTATTGGGATTTATTTTGTCATTTGCCTTCCCAACACACGTACTACTTAATAATGTTAACGTATGCTGTTGTACTAGAAAAAATTGGTAATTTTAATGGTGTATGAGCTCAAGTGTGGTTCGATAGTCGCATGTATGGATGAGCTTGTGCTGGGTAAATACGGTAAACTAGTGTGGATTGCTAGGTTATTCTAGGTACGTTTGTATACCTCTCTTTTGTTATTCCCGTTAGTTTTTTCTTGCCTCTAAATATCTCTGGACGGTGGTGATTTAACATGAAGCCGTAGGACTCCTTAGGTACTACTTATCATAACATCAGTGAAGCCAATAACAACAGAAGGTACATTTAAATGTCAAGGTACTGGTTTGAAGGAGAGGCAAGAATGCGATAAAATTATCTCTTTTTACGTGATCGTCTACTTCGTTATTTGTACTGCTGTAGTAATAGACGTAATCCTAAAGCTGTACATTTGTCATGATGTTACTGCCTAATCTATAGGATCTTACATGGAACACATCATTGTCTACGTTGACTCACCGTATCGTAACAATTACCAATATATGATGGAGAACAAACTTAAGCTAGAGATATATTTAATATGAATAGAACATTTAAGACAACACTCAAGAGTGACCATGACTGTAAGGCCGAGCAATGCCATCCGGTTAATTCCGAATAATTCGATTCGTTGTTTCCTCCTTCTTCGCCGTCGGTTCTTTTCCGCGTTAAATGTTGAATGTTTATTTTCACAATTGTCTCATGTTCAGCTTTCAAGATTGTGTGGTTAAGGCCCAATGACACTACAGCTTCTCTTCTAGTGCTAATCGACAATACGGTCAGTTTGGGAAGCTCTTTCTTCTAACTTCTGACCTAGTTCCTAGTTTACTAGAAGTGGGGATTCTAATTTTAACAGAGAAACAAGGGAGCCATAGACAACAGCTGAAGACATTATTTCATTTAATTCAAAGCTTACAAAACACTGGCGTTTCTTTTTATCGTTAATTGATTCTAAGAACTGTAAGGTTTCGTTTTATGTTGATTCACTGACATATCCCTTTATATTCCAAAGCTATTGTAATTTAAAATCATGCCTTTGTACTAAATATTCTACCCTAATCCCCAGTTTTGGACATAATTGTGTTTTCCTATTTGTTTGCGGATTGTGGCCATTTTAGTAACCTCCGTTATTCATGCATCTTTTTACATTTATCTGAATCGGGACCGAATCGGATTATGAATCGGAATTGGGAATAAATCGACTAGTGTTCCAACTGACACGTCTTCTCTCGCACGTGCCTGTCAACCAATATGTGTGGACCAAATCGAGATATATTCGCTGGCGATCTCGTGGCATCGAAAGGATACCGAGATCGTGCCAGGATACAAGCTTGGTTACAGAACGTAACCGAATTCGCGCGAAGTCACAATCAAAGTGGAAGAATAAGAATGGAAGCACAATATAGCTGTCATTAGCACAGTCAAACAAAAGCACATTTAAACAAACGCTGGTAGAGTTGGTTATAATAATAATTGTTTTTATTGAACCAGTCGTGTTCTCGTGATAAATGTGAGTCACTACAGATGTTGGTGGAAGGTATACATCGTCCACATTAACTCATCCCATTGTAAAAATCAGTGATATGGCGTCCAACACTTCTGAAGAACACATTTGAGCTGAGCAGAGAGCAATATGTTCAGTACAAAATGAAGCAGGTCATATGGAGTGACCATGCTTGCATGGTCAAATCATGCCATTTTGGTTGATTGTTGTCACAATCATCATTGTTGTTCTTCTCTTAATGTTATATATCGAGTGTGAATCTTCACAGCTTCAAAGATGGTGTGCTTATAAACTAATGCCACTACAGAATCTTTGGTTTGATCATGTTTGTAAGAATGGCCCATACCTGGTACGTCAGAACTATACCATTACGACTAGTAAAAGTAGTGGTGGTATCACCTGTACCTATAGTCTGTCTTCAACCATTGACAACTCATGTAAGTTACCTGTGGAATAATTTAAGTTCCATAATTTATTTTCTGAAATTCACAGACGTTGTGTTGAAGTCTAATGGTAGGTGTGCATGATCAAACTCCGCGTGTTGTAGCACTAATGTGAAATTTGAGGATCCTGGTCAATATGAATGGACATATCTACGCCGATAAATTGATTGTGCTGATTTTTTATGACATATATAACTAACAAGATCTTGCGTCGAAGTCACACCATTGTCCACGAGGACATGCCGTAGCTTGGAGGTTCTGATTATTTACTTCTTAAGAATCTTAAACGAAAAAGTCTGATCTAACTTGCAGAACATCCGCTGCAGTTACCGGTGCTTCAATTGATCTAGATATGCATATTTATCTTAGTTATATCGTTGATGTAATTTTATATGACCTGTATCCAACCATTTGCTTGCTCGGATGAGTTATCCGGCAGTTCAACATAAAGGAGAAACAATACAGATAAAGTGGCACATCGAAAAAACCAAAATGATGTATAAAATTATAACAGTAATATCTTCTTCAAACAAGATGAACGGAACAAACAACAAAATTAGCGAGAATGATAATCTTGCATTCATAGTGTAACGAAAGGTTATTGCCATTTGTGTTATATACAGGGAGGGATTGTAGAACTATGGTCCGCTTCGTTATTAGCATTGCTATAATAACATATCTAATCCTGATATTTGGATTTGTAATAATTTGACTACCTAACCTACGAGATCATACATGGAAGTCATATCATTGACTATTCTGACTCGTCGTATTGTACAATCAGTATCATAGTGTTTGGAGTTTCTAAAGAACACATTTAGTCTGGATGTAGAAGAATATATTTATTGTGAATAAAAGGGATAAGTTACATAGGAGTGACCATGCCTGCAAGGCTGAGCCGTGCCATTCGAATGAGTAGATTGAATTTTTGTGGTGTACCCATACTGACCTCTTTGTGTTGTGTTGAATATAAGTCTTTTGAGTAATCATGTGCTCGACTTCGAAGGTTGTGCGGTTAGTAATTAATACCGCTACAAGTTTTCCATACTCACAAGAGGTGTATCTTAAAGCCTTAATACAAATATGTATGGAAATATTTTAAAGTATCCGTCGTTTCATTTCATAATATTGGGCCCGAAACAATGATTTCCATATCAGTGAAGGTGAATGATGTTAAGTAGACGACGAAACTGAGTTTCCCCTCTATATCACTTGCTTTCCTCGAGATTGTCTGAGCTCACATAAGATCTAGTACTCTTTCGCTTTAGAGTATCCTGCGTTTGATAAGCATAAACAAAAGTTTTGCGCAATACATCACACTTTCTAGAAACACAGATTGCCACCATCGATTGACCGGACTCTATGTGGTTTAAGGATTTGAAAATCGTCAATATAAATGATTTGTTTCGATGAATGAAGTCTACTTAAAAATAGTGATTTTCTGGTTAACGTCCACGTTACACCTCACATTTAATGCATAACGTCGGTTACCTTATTGTGGTATCCATGTACATTGGTTATTGAGACGACTCTATAGCGCAAGCATGGCATTGCTAAGTAAATGTATTAATATTGTCAGATCAAATAAATATAGAGTGTAGTCACTGTCCTTTCCGTGGTGTCCAATTACTTCACATTGGTAGTCCTTGATATTGACGGGGCCCGCAAAACTTTTGACATTCAGTGATCTGCCTGCTAAATAATTTAGCTTGGCCTCAATGACAATCTCACAAAAACTACAGGTCTCATATTTTTTGTGACGGATGGAACTAGGGAGCACTGGATAAATATTTCGTCTCTTCAACGGTGCGCACCGAACTCAGGGCCCAAAGATAATATTCCCATAGGTCTATAAGAATATATTAGAGAATTCGTTTATGTTTGTCTTCCCCTATGGTCATCAACTTATTCTCTCCCCACATCTATAGTTTATTCTGTTGCTGAATGTATCTACGCATATTCGGTTTTTCCTCTAGAATATTTGAGATCAAAATTACTTTATTGTCTATAGTTTTTAAAATGTAGTCAATTCAATTTTTTGGGTTCGACTACCGTTCCACGCGTGTCTTACCTAACATTTAGGATTCTAGGACAACCGTATTGGGTATCTGACTGATCGACTTGCTCCAGGTGATTTTATTGAAGGTTTGTTGTTTCCGTACAGTTGGCTTCTCGATTCGCAACTATTACTTGAGGGATATTTTTATGCCTTTCGGTAGAATGTTGCTCCTGAGATAATAGGAACCGTCTTACTTCTTATCACCTTATCTTAAATGCAAGATATTATGACAATGACCGCACCTGTTGGAGAATGTGTCATTCAGCTATTGGCTGTTTCATTTTCAATCATGTTTATCGATTTCAAATGGTTCAAACGGTTGTGGACGTAATAGAAGCTTTCGCTTAACGGACTTCCGTGTCCAGTAGCAGTGGATCACCTGTACTTCCAGGCAGGAACCTAGGTATATTAACGATAAGAGGTGAAAAAGAAACAACTTGATAAATCATAATACGATGTTATCCTTAGTCCTTAAGAATAGGTCAAGAATTCTCTTAAAGGACTCCTGGGAAGTGGCTTGGACTAGTTCAGTCGACAGTGAATTCCAGCATTTGACAACTCTTAAGGAGTAGAAGTTCTGCTTACAGTCCGTTCTGCTGTGTTGTGTCTCTAGTTTCTGGATGTTCCCCCTTAGTTTTGTATTGCAGCTAAACCTAAGTAGGTATTTAAGGGAATGTCCAGAAGTGCTAAGGATACTGTAAGCAATTAAAAGGTCATCTCTAAGACGCCCATGCTCTGATGAGTGATTAGAAGCGCTATTCATAAGGCATGGATTTGAGTCCCCGAACTGATTTCGCGGCTCGCCGTTGGATACGTTACAGTGTCCTTATCGTTTTGGATTGAGGGATGAAATACTATGTCTCCGTATTCTAAATGGAAAGTTACCCGGTCAAACTGGTCAAAAATGCGCTTCAATGTTACTAGTGCAAGGTTTGCTCGGAAGGCATTATTGTCACAGTTAGCGTAAGACTTTAAATCGTAGCGCACCAGGACTCCTAAATCTTTTTCGACTTGGGATACTACTAGAGAGGAGTTACCTAAGTTGTAACTGTAGTCTGCAACATGTCTCAGATGAACCACGTTATAGTTTGAAGTGTTAAAGGTAAGTCCGTTGTCATCTGCCCAACTTTGAAGTCAAGTCAGATCCTCCTGAAGTGTCTGTATATCGTCTTGGTTGCGTATCTCTCTCCAAAGTTTCACGTCGTCGGCAAAAAGTAATAAGTCTGACGTTACCTGTTGAGGAAGATCATTTATGTAGATCAAGAAGAGAAAAGGTCCTAGTACTGAGCCCTGGGGGACCCCACTAGGACATTCCATAGCCTGAGATAAAGTGAAATTAAAACTGACCTTAAAATGTCTATTTTTCAGGCATGAAGTGAGCCAATCGATTAGAGGTGGTTTGATACCCAATCGTTTGAGCTTATTGATAAGACATGTATGGTTAACCTTATCAAAAGCTTTTGAGAAATCTAGGTAGATGATATCAACCTTCCTCTTGAGATCGAGGATGCTTGTCCATCTGTCCGCCGCAGTCAACAGGTTGGTAATACAAGAGTAACCCTTCCTGAAACCATGCTGTTTGGGTGATAAGAAGTTTAAGGACAGTAAATAGTCGTGCATACCATCGCATATCAGAGACTCCATGAGTTTTGAAGGTATAGGGAGAAGAGCCACCGGTCGGTAACTTAAAGGTTCATTGCGTCGACCTCCTTTGAAAATTCGTGTGATGTGAGCCAGCTACCAATTTTCCGGTAGTTTTCCTCGACTTAGCGAGTGTGAGAACATCATGCTAAGCTGCGTTGCCAGGATTGAGGCCGCCTCCCTCAGTATGGCAGGATGAACCATATCCGGGCTAGGAGAAGTATCTAGTCTTAAGTGCTGCAGTTTCCGGAACACCAAGTCAGCGCTCAGGTTCACTACGGAAAATCCTGTGCAGTTGCAAATAAAGCTATCATCAGTATAGTTGACGTGTGTCGGTTGAAATTTCCAAGAGTATTGTCCAGCCAAAAGGTAGGAGGCGTCACCGTCGTTATTTGTCAAGCCATTATGACATAATAGTTGGGAAACTACAGTTTTGGCTTGTCGAAGAAATGATTGGACAAACTCATCTATAAGCTTTATCTGGTACTGAAGTCTGTCTTCTCTTATTGCCTTTGTGCACGTGTTCCTTATACGTTTGTATTGCCTGTATGCCCCGTTGTTATCAGATCGTTCGTATTCTGCCCAACAGTGCCGTAAACTGAGAAGATATCCAAGTTTCAGATATTCCTATCAGATGAGCGTCACATAACTCACCCATTTTATTTGGTAAACTCGTGGCGTTCATGTATAAGCTTTATGCTTTCAATTTTTAACGCATGAGCTTCTCTATATGAGCCTGATGTGAGTGGACAGGTAAGCTACTTATACAAGGTTTTCCGAGTTGATAGTCCGTCATTTAGGTTTTTTATGATCAAGACAGTCCATAAGTGGAATGGTCAGTTCGAACTTGCCTTTGTGCTTGATCCTGGCGTCGTGTGGCCTAATAAAACTCGCACACGTTTTGTATGGCTTTTCATGTTACTTAGTAGAATCTGCAGCATATAAACAACTTTTCAGATGAACTCAACTGGGTGCTTCACTATATCCCTTCTGGTCCAGGTCTACTTAATTTATTGGTTTTTCAATTTGAAGTAACATCAAGTCTCACGACAAGCGCGAAAAATTTAGACCGCTGAGCTGACATCGCTTGTCATTGATGATATTTCTCACAAGCTTGATACAACTAGGCACCGGTGACTGTCCACTTCTGAGTGGATAGAATTATTCAGTCACGAGATTGTAGCAGGTTGCGTTTTGATAAGAACACATTCACTCTCCGACACCTGACATATTATGAGATAGATAAGTTGTAATTCGACTGTATGCGGCTCCGTGAATACAAATCGACCATACGATAACAGCTATGGACCATGCAAATAAATTTTAAAACGAGTCGGATTGAAATTTGTAGTAAATATGAAATTTCGTTCGGATACTCGTGCGGTTACCAGTTAAAAGTCAAACAAAGTAGACATGCAAGTGTTTATTCTGTAATTTGATTATGGTTGATTCAGATATGACCGCGACAATGGAGCGTCTAGTACCCCTGAGTCCCAAAAAAGCGTTTACTGAAGTGTCAAAATGTACAGAACAACATCTGTCTTTAAAGCTTGTTATGTGCAGTAACATCGTTATAATCCAGACAATACAAAAACAGGAAGTTGACGTAACTATTTTACCACACATGCCATGTCGATGTTCTGAAGAATTGTATCGGGCTTAGTCGCACCTTCTGAGAGCCGTACCAACAGTAAGGAACGGTTCTAAAGAAATTACCACAGTTATTCAACAAATTCAATCAAGTCAGTTCGAAAAAGCAAATGTTCTTAATAATATAAAATTACCCCTTCTGGATAGATCAAGTGGACCTAATTCAAAAGGTAATATTTAAGATTTTTACGACAATGAGCGCTTACGAAAATGTGCTTTAATTTAAGATAAAAATGCAAGGGAAATGAGTCAACATGGTAGCCATCAGAGCCACGTAAAACAATGTTGATGTAGTTCGTGAGAACCATAGGAATTCGCTAGACGAAGGAAAAGTAAAAGTTACGATGGAAAAATAGTAGCTGTCTCATCTAGGACTAAAAGATCAGGGAAGTATACAGCTGAAGGGATAGAGGAAAATAATTCGAAAGGCAACATGTCACATTAGAAGGGATTTTCATACATTCATATAAACCTCCAAAGCACCTGACAGTGTATATTTAACACCTACCTTTGCATTAAATCAATACAACCATTCCCACCGAATTACGTTATTTTAGAAATCTCGATTGGTGTGTGCCACTGTTCAAATCTTGGATTTTATGAACTCTTGGAATTCTAAAAGTTTTGCGCCTATTCAAAGGAATTAATTTTTACTGAAAGTAAAAATCGTCTTACCATAAGAAATTTGAGAATTTTACACCAGTTCCTGCTTACTGGTTCTGGGAACCGATCATGTCCCAGTGTCAATCTGACAAAAAAATCTGTGACATTCTATCTATTAAATACATAGTTTACTGCTTTGAATAGCTACAACTGACCCCAATGCGTTCCACCGGAGTGGTAACCACGTGATTTAGCATTATTCTTAGCGAGACTATGACGGTTCCAGAAATTGCTTGGAGCTTTTCCATAAATAAAATGCTATAAACATCTCTATTGATTTTCCACTAGACAACCCAGTCACTTCTGATTAGAATTAAAAAAACAATAAAAATACAACGAATTAGTGATGCTGAAAAGTATTAAATACATACAAAATACGGTTAAGATACGAAGGGAATTAATAAATCACAAATGACTGATTATTAGCAACAGTAGTTCAATCATTTATCATAAAATCAAGAATATTTTGATGCGTTCAACAAGATGTCATTTAGCGGAAAGAACTTAAAACTGTAGTCTGATACTGAACAGAAACCAAAGGGATGAAGAGGTATACAAATCACAATCTTGAGACGGTGAGATGACAGAACAACAAACTAATGAGAACATAAGTTTATGAAGTCTGATATACTGTCGTTACTACTAAAAAGTATGCAAACACGATCAATATCACATTTTATGAGCCAAAACGCCAGATCCCAACAAAGACGCTCGTCGTTGCCACATACAATTAAGAGCCCAGGTGAACATGGTGTTACTGTGTTGACCGATTCCTTAGTGACTCCATGACTTGATTTAATATTTAATAACTGTCTAGCTTGTGTTGTTTGATGCCATAGTTTTTGGTTTATAAGAAAGGCTAAAAACTCTGGTATGATTTGTGGTCGATTACGATTACCACTTGGATAGTCAATCACCTCCCAGTTTTCTGGAGAGAAAGTACTGTAAGAGCTAGTGGTAGTTGAAGATATATCGCTGCTTTCTTCAATTCCTGTTGATGAAGAATCTCGCATTACAGATCTGGAAATCCCACAATGAATACTGTTAGGCAAATGAAATCTGAAAAAAAGCGATTTTTTGGAAAAATATCACAGTTACAATGTCAAGTGTTTACCGAACATTCAATAATGTGTCTTAGCATGTAAATTTGGAATTTATAAAGTTAGGAAACAGAATATCGGATACATAAAGTAAGCCTATCTAATTTTATTAACAGACTTGGTTTATGATTTTTGTAGTACTCATCTTTACATTCAGTGTATTTTTAACAGTTAACAAGGAATTTTATTAGCACGTGAATCGATTTGCTAATTATAAAGTGGCTAACAGACTTCTTTTATTCATATTCGTTAATACTCCGATTTTTAAGCCTATAATTAAATTCAAAGAGTAAATTTTACACACTTTCTTTCATACTTCTATGGACAAACTGATATCAAAAGTTGAACGAACGACCAGAAATTACTACGAGACTTTATGATCCAGAAGATCCCGAAACATACAAGAAATAAAGTTGAATTGAGTAAGACTTTTATAGTTATACACCTTATTCCGTCAAATTTACCCTGTAATATACGGACTTTTTTTGGAAACTGCTGAAACTATTGGAATGTTTATTAAATGGCCCAACCGTTGCGCACAGAAGAAATTTGTGTAGCACCCCTCTTTACCCTGTACATCGACATGTAAGTGTTTATATATATTGTTATTATTATTCTAACACATAGATATTGGTACAAGGAGGCACAAAATACATATGCGCCACAAAAATCCCATTCGATATGTGTGAGGGCTGTGATACTGCCCGGGTGCCCAAACCGAATCAGGGTTTATATATATATATATATATATATATATATATATATATATATATATATAATGTGTGTGTTTGTGAAGACTACTGATACTACCAGCCAGATGAAAGTTAAGTCAGTGAAGCAACAGGGTTGGAACTTGTAATTTAACCCAAATATAGAAAATTAATGGATGAATTTTTTAAACTGATGCATGAAAAGGTTCTTATGTTGAATTGATTGCATCTAAAGTATTTCTTGTGTATGGATGAACTATTTAATGAACAATGGCACAAAAACCTAGAATACAAAGTAAATCATATTAAAGCGATTAATAAAACTACAGTGGATCATGAACATTTGATCTTGATTGACCTTAGAATGTCTAACATTTTTTATTTTGCGTTTCATGTTTACAGTTCATCTATTGCTCTATTTAATTTTACTTTCCCGGGAGCGGGATCGTGGACGCGCACTGTTGAGGAGTCCCACAATAAGACGAAACGGCCGTCCAGTGCATCCAGGTTTTCAATGGTGATCTAACATCAATCGGTTCATGATCTCAACACATTTTAAGTATTATTTGTTCAACAAGTTTGTTGTATCTAGCTGTTCACTTAGTGAGTGAGTGTTCCAAATTAGAGTTTTATTTTCACTAAAGATTTCTGATCACCTGTGGAGATTTCTATAACTGTTTGATATGAAGAAGTCAATGTGGTGCAGTCCAACGTGCAGGATGAAAACCAAAAACTACTAATGAAAGCTACATTATAATATGCAACAATCACCCCCATGAATGAAAATACTTGAAACAACAAACACATTGTACATTAAAGATGTTGCAGATAACTCCAGTTTTATTTGATCAAGCGAATTACAGAGTAAATTACTTCTTAACTATTCTAAATGTTTTGAATTTGATTCCTATTGACTTAAATCAGTTAATTCCATGAAAAATAACGTTGACCTCGTTATTTCATATATGATTGAATTGATGTAAAGGTCGAGTTTGAGCCAGTAGCAATAAAATCGAGAGATGATTGCACAATACCGTGAATCGATGGAGGCTATACGATGTGAATGAATGTATTCTAGCTCAGTGGTCCACACTTTAAGTGCTCGCCACAAGATCAAAAGGTCCTGGAGTCGATCTAGGTGGGATCGTGGATGTGTACCGACAAGGATTCCGGTACCAGGACAGAACATGTGTTTGCTGCTTCGTGGTTTTCAGTGGTTATCTAAATAACATCAGTCTGTGATATAAACTACAAAATCTAGTAGTATCTATAAACACATAACACTGATAAATTATCATACTCTTATAATGAATGAGAATATATGGCAATACAAAATTGGGGGAATGACTAAACAACGGAAAATCTGATTAGAAAAGAGGAAAATTTTGAAGTCTCTTTGCTTTAAACATTATTATCTAACTACATTCTTGATAAATAAACATGAATCACATTGTCATAATCAAAAAAATTTGAGAGATGCATATGTATATTACATATATAACTGAGTGAAGAGAATGTTGATCTTAAAAATCAATCTTTCAATCACTTTTCTGTGAGAAATTTATCTATAACCCAAAGATTTTATGAAAATATCATAGCTCACCATTAATCAAGATAAAAAAATAAGAGTTTATTTTAATATAGCGACTAACTACAGAATTAATTCTGATTACTTGGCTTTAACCATACTACTTTCCATGTAGGTATGAGTGCCAAAATGATTCCAATCTTTAATACTGTTATTATGTTAGTGTTCCTTAATCACGTGATACTCTCCTATTTATTCATCCGGTCAAAACAAAAGTATTTCCAGAAAAAGTGCGGAAATGATATAAGTGAAAATATATTATAGGGATGAGGCAATCAAAGTTGAGAAAATGGCTGTTAGGTATTTTGCGGTACAAGTACCTCTGTATAGTCCTCTAAACGTTAAAAATGAAAACGAAAGTTAGCTTTCTTGCTATAAAGTGAAAAAAATAGTGTTAAACGAATCAAGTGAACAATTCTTGCTATGTGACATGTATGAAACTCTCAAATGAACTCTATGCCTAAATCTTAACCGTAAACGCGTAACTATGACTTAAACCTTAAATCTTTAATCTAAAATCCATAACACTGAACACATAGTGCTACAACTAAACCTCCAATCTATGTAGTTATAAAGTAATACTACATTATGTCAGTTTGTGACAAAAACTCCAAACATAACTTTTAATCCTAAATCTCAACATTAATTCATGATTCCAGAACAATCTGGGAACTCCTATAAATCATTTTAGGTCTTTAAAAGGGTTCGAAAAGACAAATGTTGTATATCTATATGGATAAAGTCATATAACTTTTTTTTCAATTTGTAAAAAGAAAAACATTGAAAGGATTTTAACGGATTAATTAATTATGCGAAATCCGTTTAACACTTATGACATTATTGCTTTGTTTTCCAAAAAATAGCCATTTCCTAAGAGCTGTTTTCTGATCGACTAAGAACTGGTTGAAAATTCATCGCAGTTTTTTTTGGCTCACCTCTATAAACTATAATATAGATAATGTGAGATGACAGACCTGCCTGCTTGCTTATAACCATTATTGAATCACTGCTTAGTTTTATGGTACCCATAGAATGTTATGGATGAAAATTAAAAGTTATAACCATCTAAATCAATTATAAGCAAAGATGGATAGTGATTAGCACTGGAATCCAGGACGCGCGTTTCGTCCTACTTGGGACTCGTCAGTTAGATGTATCTGCATCTCAGAGTTGATGTTCACTCCGGGACTCGAACCCAGTACCGTTCAGTCCTAAACATCAATGGGAAGATTCAAGTAAACAATACTAAGTGAATTCATCTAAATCAATTTTTAAAATTTTGGAGAAATAAATAAGAATTTATGATCAATATCAAACAGAATACATGAATATATTACTTATGAAAACAATTAATAGGAATATATCATAGAAATAAGACATTATTTATTGAATGCTTACCTATTATATTCTTTGATATTACGTACATCTAAAACTAGACAATCTGGACGTTTCACATGCACCACAGCATCTTTAAAACTGAGTAATGGGACTAATTTAAAAGCATTTGACGATATATTTAGTTTTTCACAAACATTTGATGCAACATCGATATCAGAATATTCTAATGATTCTGTAAAATCATATTCTAAATGATCTGGCCATGCATTCTGTGATTTTAAACGCTGATTCAAAAAAATAGCGACATGACTGTAAATCAACAGGATTTAATTAACAAATTTATTCATTAAAGAGGAAGAATGTATTGTTTTAGAGACAAAAGTATTACTACGAATAACAAGATAAGAACATGACGAAAAATTAAAAGCCATACATAATAAAATCGTAAGAACCAGAAATCAAATATTGTCAAAAAACGCGTCTAAGGGGGACATAACTAAGACAGATTCTGAAAATAAAACACTAATATATTTGTAATATCCTCATGAGTAAAAGATCGAATATCTGACGACGTTTAACTACAAGTTCAGTCCAAAAAGTATAAATCGCGAAAAATGAACTTTTCACTAGAATAATTACTAAACGAATAGTTTAATTGTTCAACTTCACAATCTAATATTAAATCACTTCTAGAAGAAATGTAGTTGGATAATCTTTTGAATGCCCGAAAATGCAATTAAACTTACTTCATAGAAATCAGAAGTTGACGATTCGTTTCCTTTGGAATTCAGGTTTTCAACTTTTAATTCTTCATTTTCCATAAATTTTTTATTTAAATACTGTCTATTGGGAATCGACCAAGCTGTTAAACTTCGAGGTGTAGCCAATGCCAATTTCAAAGCATCTGTTCTACATTTATCCAAATTAATATCGGGAAAATTCGACAAAATTGTACAAATCTTTTCTAGTCCTAACAACTAAAATAAATCAACCAAATAAGAGCATAATACTCATGTAGAACTACTCAAATATAACTAATTTCAGATATATTAATTAACAATTACAATTCGTGAAGCATCTGTCGCCGACCAACATTCTCTAATCATGTCCTGGGCTCTCCTTTCCATTCGTTGCCAAGTACTATTCATTTTTCGATGTTCGCCACCGATTTCCGGTGCCATGTGTTCTTTGGTTTGCCTCTTTTCACCTTGCCTTTAGGATCCCAAGTTAGGGCTCACCTCTCAATGCAGTTTGATTTCCACAATGTGTCCTATTAAAATCCAGTATCTTTTACTGATTTCCTCTTCAGATGGAAGCTGGTTTTTTCTTTCTAACAGTAGGCTGTTGATGATATCTAACCGACGGACACTGAGTACTTTGCATAGACAATTGTCTATAAATACCTGTACTTTTTTGATGATGGTTGTGGCAGTTCTCCAAGTTTCAGTTCCATACAACAGAACTGTCTTGACACTCGTATTGGAGATTTTGATTTTGACTGACAGTTGTTTTGAATTTCATATGTTCTTCAACTGTAGAAATGCTTCCCTTGCTTTGTAAATCTATTTCTTCACATCGGCATCAGATCCCCTTGTTTATCAGTGATGCTGTCCCGGAAAGTAAAAGTTTCCACCCCTTCCAGAGCTTCTCCATCCATCAAGTGTGATTGGGTTCGTATTCGCTCTGTTGTATTTGAGGATCTTGCTTTTCCTTTGTGAATGTTGAGGCCTACTGCTATATCGACTATCGTCAACTGCATTCGTTGCTATGCATGGGATAAAATGAGATTAAACATGTACATGGACTGTGACAAAACACGAGTGTTGCTAATCTTAAACCAAGGATTAATTGTAGTAGTACAGATGCATTTGCACTTTATTTTCTACTAAATCTTGAGTTCCAACATCCTTCCTTACACACCTTCTTATTACTTCCTTTCGAACAATATTCTTAATGTTTAATTTTTGTAAATCTATCACTAGTCCTAATGTTACTTCAATCCCTGTAAATTTCATATTATCGTCCTGACGTGGAATGGGATCTTGGGCTGATGCACTTATGTGCTTAGATCTTGCATTATAACTTAACTGAATGACTGAATTTAATGCTCAGTAGGCTAATTTTGTTTTACCACATTTTTATCATCCTACTACTGACCTTGAACAAACTATTTGATGAACAGAAATATTGAGAAAGTACACACAAATGGTCCATCACATGATTGTTATAGTCTTCTGTCCTAGCCTCTAGTCATGTCAATAAAACCTGATTTGTTTCCAAACTTTACTTTTGATTATTTCATCAGGCAAGTGAAGTATTTTGTAGCAATAAATAAATCACATTTTAAAAAATATTGTGCTATCAAACAAGCCTGTGCAATCTATAAATTTGATTCCTCCAAGATTGTATGTGATAAAGAAATAAATCTTGCATCAATTAACTGCACATAAATTGAATTAAATACTTTCAATTAACCCGATAGTGAATAGTTCTAAAAACTCAACCTCAGGATGAGCATAGTCATGTGTGTATGGTTGAGTCATATGCTAGGAAAAAATAGCTGTTTGTTACTCTCTGATTTCAAATGGTACCTCGACTGAGATCAATTTGTGACAAGTACAACATAAAAAATTGTACCAATCTCCACAAAATCTCTTTAGCTGAAAGCTGATTTAGGATTTCGATAGTTGATCAACAAAAAACAAACATGAAAATCAAATCTTATTCAAAGTTAACTGTTATACAACTAATTAACCTGATTAATAAAAAAAATTACCTCAAGATTGATTTGTCTGTCTAACTGAATAAAAAATGCAATGTAGAAAAACATTGACAATGAAGCTGGACCAGGAATTATTGTATCCCATAGTAATTCTATACGATCCAATGGCATAGCATGAGCAAATAACGTATAAATCCAACCGGTAGTCAATCCAATCAAAGGCACATTAATATCAACCAATCGAATAGCTAGTCGAGGTACATGAAATGCTAACAACCGTAGAAGTGTATTGAAATACGATTTTAAACCAACAGTAAGACCACCAGAAGAGAAAAATCCCGGTAGCTTTGTTGACAAAAAAGCATTTAAACAAGCAGCAGCCAATGCTTCATCTGGATAACATATACGCACAAATACAGCAGCTACAGAATCCATACCCTAGAAATTACCGAGAGCCGTGAATAGACACGAGATATAATAAACAGTATGAATGAACAGTGTTCAAAACTGTTTTAAAAAATGTAATCAGATTGAATGATGGAGCAGTGGCAAAGTGTTTACGACATCTGACTTTCAGCTACTAAGTCGCAGGTTCGAACCCTTTCATTCCCACCGTTGTTAAAAATGCTCTTTCTCATTAGCTTGGTATTGTACTAGTAAGCTTTCTATCACCTTATTTCCAAGAACACTGTCGGTATACTTATACGTAATAGTTGCACGCCTAATCGATCTTGTTCGATAGTCCTAATAAATCATAATGTTAATGTATGAGTATTCCTATCGGATTATCGCTTGAGCTAGGTTAGATAAGTTTTCAACACCAACTTTCCATAGCAATCTTCAGAAATATTCGCCCCACCGGTCACCTATCATACACGACTTCACGTTTATTCATTTAACTAACTAAATCATATAGAGGCTTGAAAAACGGAGACCACACAAATTCAATTGCCATCTCTATTACTGAATTGAGATGGAAACAAAATTAGACTACCGAAATGTCCCCGTTTATTATGCTAACAACTCCCGTTTCCAGACATCCGAGACTATGCGGTTCCTGACACAACTTCCCGAGAGTTAATAAATGAATCTTCCAAGACTACTATATAGCATGTTGCAAAATGAACCAGTTAAAATCACAATGAAATATCCACTTCTCTTGTTCATTCAAAATTTGAATATATATACATTGAGCTTACTCGTACACTTTGTCTAGTTTATTCCACTACTTCTGTCTGCTGTTTTGTCATTATTTTTGTGATTTCGTTAAATGGTTTTTGACTGACACTAATAGTATTTTAGATTCACTGTGAATACGTATAATGTTTATACTAATAAGTAAAAATTAACTTGTACAACTGTAGCCCAATAACGTATAGGAATACACAAGATTGATCAGCTTATCAAGTTTTAATCTTTTAAATGATCGCTTAGGGATGAATGTAACTAATAAACAATTTCAGAAGGGTATTTTGTGAATATTATAGTACTTTATAATAGTTAAGATCATGAATCAATTGAAGCTGGATGACCATGGAAAACCTGGAAACCCTGGACGGCCGTTTCGTCCTATTTTGGGACTCCCCAGCAGTGCGCATCCACAATCCCGCTTCGCGAGATCGGTGGGTCCTGGGTTCGGGTCTCACGAGGCGGGATTGTGGATGCGCACTGCTGGGGAGCCCCAAAATAGGACGAAACGGCCGTCCAGTGTTTCCAGGTTTTCCATGGTCGTCCAGCTTTAATTGACTCATGATCTCAACTATTAAAAAGTAACAAACAATTGACCAATTAAATATGTTATGACGGTATAGTTGGATTAAACCTAACGTTGAAAATACCATGTGAAAGAACGATGTATGCAAAAAATGAAGGAAAAAAAGTAAGTGGTGTGATTTGGACATGACTGAGTTGTTGAAAGTCGAATACCTTAACCATGAAGCAAAAATTTACGCCTTATTAAATAGTTACTCGGTCATATTGAACCAGACAAATAAACCTATCAATGTAAGAGAGATGGTTCATTATTTTAAGTAAAAAAAGAATTAAGAACTAGAGGTAATCAACAATACAGTAGGAAACTGACGAATTATTTTCAGAGTACGTTATATAGATATAGTTGTCTTGTACTCTATCCTTATTCTCCTGCTATCTTAAATTCAAATATTCATGTAGTATTAACATAATCAACGGTTTTAATTAACATTTTCAATGCACCTTTTTAGAAAAATGAGCCAACAAATTGAAGTGTAAACTGAGTATCTGAAATGCTAAAACAAAATCACCACACACATACATTTAAAATGTCATACTATTAAGAATTTCATTTACCTGAGTATAATCCAATGCACCAGGTTTCATTAATAAAGTCGCTAGTAGAACACGACGAAGTACAGATTGCCCAATAGATGATGCCAACAATGGATCATAAGCATGACAACGTGGTAAATCAACTGATATTTGATTAATGACTTTTTCATCTAAGAGATCACAACTAAGGTTATTATTATTATTATTATTATTATTATTATTATTATTATTTAATTCATTTATAGGTGTTACGTCCAAGCCAAACTTGTTGATTCTATGCAATGCCTTCAGGTAAGCTGATTCGAAATCCCGATTGGGATAAACGTCGAGTAAAGCAGCCCAAACCTAGGAAATGCAATATGAAGTTGGTACAGAGAAAACCTTGGTTTTAGTTGTTAGAGAAAATCAAGTGACTAGTTCGACAAATAAGCGAACTTCAGGAACAATTCAGTAAGATAAACTGGACAAGGTAGGAATTCGGCAAACATCAAGTGATAACTACTGGTAGGCATAAGATGTGTAAATAACGTAAAATACAGAGTGTGAACAATGAAGCCAAACGTTTAGACTAGGTAAAATGAGTAGACTAAGAACGTGAAATACATAAATTATATTTGAGGGAGTAAATCAGCTTACGATATCGTTGATCCATCACGAATAAACTGGTCTCGTTCAAATATGAGGTGAGTCAATAACACGTTCAATGTCTGCCAAGTATTTATACCACTATGATTTGAATGGTAGAATTTATGATATCAACCCATTTCGATTATGCACTGGACCATATAGACGGTGCAGCTGTCAATGTTTAGTTGTCATACTAGTTTAATAGTAATGACTGCTTTACTGAATACTGTAAATTTTGTTACAGTAAGTTCTCAGCACCAAGTCAATCATAATAACATTTTCGTTTTTAATTTCATTTAAATATTTGTATGACATAATTAAGAATTGTGACAACTCAGAATTGATAGGCTACAACAAAATTTCCCAAAGTATTTCTTGTTGTTCCGACTCTCCTGACGCTGACAAGCTATTTAAGTTTTGAACGTAAAAACTACAAATATACAACTGAATGTTTCAGTCTGGTAATTTGAAAAAAAAAGATTTAATGACAAAGTCACTGATATATTACTGTATTTAAACACATTGTATATAAATGAACGAATCGGGAACTTCATAGGCCTTGAACAATCGATAAATAAAAATCTCAACTCTCGAAGTAAGAGGATGATTTTAAATTATGTTAAGGTCATTCTTATAACGCACTAGGATCTAAAGAATTATCAGAACTAACGACAGCACCACAAATTCGATATACTTTTCAGAGTACAGAAACTGGAGCTATACAGTACAACTATTTTAATTTCTCATGAGAGTTCTAGTTAGTAGACACAAAGTAACGAATCAAATGCTTTCAGCATGGACGTAAGTTTGAGACTGTTCTGAAGTAAATTTTTATGAACGAATTTTTTTGTTCAAATGGGAAAGAATAGCGATAAGCAAACGACATGAAATGATGTGACTGAGTGATGGCTCCTTGCGAGAACAAATTATTAATGTAGGTTCCCGTATGATTTGAGATCAACGGCAAGACCACCAAGGCAGAGAAGGGTTTTTTTGTAAGGAAATAACATGATTATATACAAAATAGTGACAAAAAATATAACTAAAGCAAATCAATGTTGTAGGTGGTCGTTTACTCTCCAATTAATTATGATCTTCACCATCATATCAGTGTTTGGAGTCAACCAACAGGAAGACTCATTACAAAACCTTAAGTTGTGTCAACGATTAACACACGTACTAGTTCAACAAGAAGCATCAGTTCCCTTAAGATTCCAGATCTGCCTTGTTTACGAGTGCTAACTAGCAGGAGAACTAGGTCCAAGTTATCTTGCTGACTGTTTCCAACCAGCAACTTATATGAAAATATAGTGCACCCAACGTCGAGTTAATTGGACTAGTGGTTACATTACAACATGGTCGATAGAGTTTGATCAACACTAAAGACTGACATTGATTGCTGCTCAGTGATCAAACAACGAGACTTTTGGGATGGTTGTTAATGTCTAGCAACTACATAGAGGGGAACTTTGAACGAACGATGAGTAACAATGTTGAAGTGTCAACCAACATTCAACTCCTATTTAAATAATCATTAATTATGAAGAAAACCGATATTATAGTATACTATACGGGAACTGTTTAATGTTACATTCTTTGCAGTCCGTTAGATCTTGAGATTTGAAATTATCTTTTAATTTTTTATACTGCAAAGTCATTTTTCCTTCTCCTGATCGTTCTCATCATGCCTAATCCTTAAAACGATCACCAGTACTCTTGTGGTGCGTGCTATTTATATTGATATAAGTAGTATGTGACGCGAGTTAAAAACATAATGTTTGGCAGCAGAAGATGGGGGAAGATCAAGAAAGGAAGAGCGAGAACACAATGCAATTTGTAAGAAAACGTATGAACAATGAAATGTGAGACAATGGATTGATGTTTGTAACAGGAACAGTCCGGTTTGACATGATGGATTAATATTTTGCAAATTAACGTTTTACTATATGGTTTTTCTATTTTACCGAGTAACTGTAATTTTGTGCCACGTGCATTCGACTGTTCCCACCCGTGTTCTATTCACTACACTCTTACTACTTTTACTACCTTAACATTTATCCTGATAATTTCACATTGCTGTGCTAATGTGGTTTATGACGGGATGATAGGTCAAAATTAGATTGATTTACTCATTATGATTTTTATTCAACATTAATCCCGTTTAATTCAATTTGATGACCACTCGGTATAGTATGTTTCGTTTTCTCCTAAGACATTTTATTCTGCATAACATACGATATTCTTATATGAAGTATTTTTCATATATGTGATTTATTTTGATTAATCAAAAATGGGTGTATGAATCAATATGTAAATGAGTATATTTCTGACTAGACTTGTCGTCATTGCTTGTGCTTTTGGCTGCTTGAGGAATATATTCCCCCGTTTCGAACTTGGACTTCTCTCCCTAGTTAGCGCAGCTGCGACGCATCAGAATAGCTAGCTTATTGGTCTTTGGTCACAGTCTTTGTTCCGTTCGCCGACTAGGTGAACTCGTAATCGCTTCAAACATAGCAGTGTGGAAACTTTAACTGATGCATACATGTCCTAGGTTCTCTGTTGCGCAAGTCTAACTGATGAGTTTTCCATAGTACGAATAAAAACCACACTTTTAATATAATCTTACCTTCCAACGTAAAAATGGTGGTATATCTTTACGTGCTTCTAAACGAAGATATTGTTTAGTTGCGGGTAGTCCATTGATTATTCGCGTAAATAAACGTGTGCGATAAATTTGATAATCTACATCAGTTTCTCTAACTGATAATGGTTGTTGTGATATTGATTCATACTGATTATTTGTAAATGACATACTCCAATCAACACCGGTAATACAGGTTAAATCATTTTTGCATAATGAATCTAAGAAATCTGAGAGTTTCTCAGTCACTTCAAACAAGGGTGAATTAAGAATCATACGTGTATATTCATTTGGTATTAAACTGTTAGATGAAGTATTAATATGATTAGTACTATTATTATTAACTGAGTACAAGGCAGAATAAACATTTGAATTTCCTGTGGAACTAATTTTTAAATCTTGATAAATAAATAGGGGATATAAATGATGAAGAGATGTATGCGATATACGTTCAATAAAACATTCATTGGAAAGTGGTGTAATTTGGAACTGAAATCTAAAAACGTAGAGACATGAAAGAAAGCAAAATAATTTGACAATTATCAGTAAAGCAGGGTTTGTGACGATTCTTGAATATTATAGTTTGTATCAACGACTAATCTTAGTTATACAACCACTGAAAAGTAAGCATAGGACAGTTGTGATTCCCGGAGTTTTAGTGGGAAGCCGTAACCAGTAAAGTTAGACTATGTCTGATGTAAAAGATTGTTAATAACCGAGATGATCGCTTTATATCGCGATATATATATATATGGAGTGAGATTAATTATGTGAAAAAAACGAGAACGGCACTTACGTACGTGGCTGCGGAATTTCACCTAGCGGCCATTGTTCTTTTGAAGCTATTGCACGTGTAGCATTTGATTGTACTAAAGCAAGATAATGTGGAATTCTCAAGACTGGAGGTAATAAACATTGAGAATTCGCGCCAATTAATGTTTCTTTTTCTTTTATTGATTCTTGCTTGAAACTGTTATGATGATAATTATCAATAATACTTTTTGAATCTGTATGACCTTTTAATGTAGCATGAATTTTACCACCGGTTAACATCCAATAGTAATAAAGTTCTGATAAATTTTCAATACTGTTAATAAAATTATAAGCTTTTAAAATATTATTTTTGTTATCCTCCAAACTGAATAATTGAGGATGAAATTCACGTTTCTTGGGTTGATTATATATTTTCTATGTAATAGGAAAAAATAATGATTACTGATGGGATTCATAAAGGTATTTGTTCTTTGAAAATAGATATGTTAGGTAGCATGGTCCTTGATAGTAATTAACAGTAAACAAACACACGTTCATTGTCTCATTTTGAACAGTACTTACATGCAAATAGCACTTAAATACTAAAGAATATGCCTTGATTATCAAATAACAATATGCATAACTTATGCAAAAACAATCTAATCGACAATAACGATCTCTACTTAGATTAAACGAGTTTGGTCATTTTGATTATTTACGAAGATACCCTAAATTTTGTTATTCATTGGAATCGAAAGCGTTCAAATCCAATCTATAACAAATGGATTTTTTGCAACTTCCTTTATTTAATGAAGTATATGATGCATTGACTTGGCCTTGTAATATACTTCTGCTGAAAAAATATACCAGTTAAAAAATGAGCTATATTACGATTATAATAATAAGCAGCAATAAACAGCTACTGGTGTGATTACTAGTTATTTGTGCTTTATAAGAATTAATGTTATGATATAATTTCAAACAATTTTCTTAGGTCTATGAATACGGTCATGTATTACCATTAGTATTTAAAAAAAGATGTCTTATGGCCTCTCTCTTACAACTTTATGAAAGGTCTCTTGTTATTATTCCCAAAAAGAGCTACAAACAGGAAAAAAAGCAAAAGTGGCTCAACTGTAGGTAATCAAGTTCATGATTGCTGAGAAGTGATGGGAAAAAAATGAAGAGAGACGGGAAAGGCAGTGAGTTTGTAACATCACACTTTTAGTAATTGAAGTAAGAAGTACGTAAATTTGGTAGGTTAACTTTAGTTATCTTTGAAGATAGTGGTTCAGAACTATTAATTAAACTGATTAGTCTAAATTAGTGATTTTTTTCATATGATAAGGAAAAAAAGTCTTATTTTGACAATCACAAAAGAACCATAATTTTAAAATCTCCACTTCCATAAACATATGAAACCCACTACTATTTAGAATCACAAATACGAAGTTAATTAGGTTTAGTTTAAGACCTGCTCTAGTTAGTCAAACAACTCTATCTTTTGCCATATTTTGAGACACCAACAACTATTGTCGTTAAATTTCACCCATAATGGACCTATGAACTGTATTTAAATGTTGACCTACAGAGTTGATGACAGCACTTGTCACTGAAGTAGGTGTCAAACAATTAAATCAAACTACTCAAATAATTAGTGTCAGAACACACCTTACAGTATTTTACCTTTCGAAGCTCATCATTAAGATTATGTACTGTCTACAATTTTATTCAACTGTTATGAATATTCCTCATGGATTGAGTATTTCCTAAGAGATCCTCTTATCGACTTGGAATACGCAAACAGCACTGGAATGAAGATCCCGATAACATGCAGAGTTTACACCTAATGACACAGTTCACTATAGTATTCCCTGATTTCATGAACTGTTGTGAAATTGGGGGAGGCCAGACTACGGCATTAGATCAGTCAATAAGGTCACTCACTCTTGGACTAAGCCAAATTGTGGGATGTGAACATCCTGGTTAGCGCCCATGAAATAATTATAACCTATAGTTGTAAACCTTACGTGATATGCCCCGAGACAGATTGCAGAGGCATCAATGGGTCGATTATTCCTCTTCGATAAAATCCTGAGTTCCCTTCTTATTTCTTTATTCCATTCACAATTCTTGAAATATATTTTCTATATTTAGTTACAAAACAATACTAACACTGATATTATTTTGATTCTGTTGTTTTCAATCTTACTAATTTCCTCTTACACTTTGTAAATATGAATTGTGAGAGCATGGTTCGACGTACATTCATGCTAGGTATGATTAACTAATGCCCTTTATGTTATGCAAACTTTGCCAAACCTATTAATGATGGCCAGCAGTTGGGACCTAACTCTGTACGTAGGTACATGGACTACACTATCCTACTCAAGTAAATAATTTGGGCACAACTGGTAACACTGGTGATTTGCACATGAATTATGCAATCTCTTTTTGAAGATGAGTAAGATGACTATTTCATTTCAGTGATTAAAAACATTGGGTTTTTAATATCTTTTCAACAAAAGTTGGGTAGCGACATTGTTCTATAACATAATTTTAAACATAATATCTTATAATAACTTAATAAAGAGTTCATCAATTTGTGGTAAGTCTTCTTCCGAATGCGTCCAAGCTATTGGCTTCCGTCATACTTCGTAGGTTGTTCAAAACCCGAGAAAGATTGACTCGCGAGGAGCAGGCTGGGTTTCGTTCTGGTCGAGGATGTATTGATCACATCTTCACCCTCCGCCAAACATTGGAACACCGCCATACTTATCAAAGGCCAACAATCGTAGTGTTTCTTGACATCAGGGCTGCCTTCGATTCGTTGGATAGGACTGTTCTCTAGGATTGTCGATTGAAGAAGGGTGTGCCTGAGAAGTTTATTAACATCCTAAAAGCCCTATATACAAACACCTCAGGCAGAGTGAGGGCATACAACCACCTCTCTCCATGGTTCCATTCGAGCAGTGGGGTTAGGCAGGGTTGCCCAATCTCACCATTCCTCTTCAACTTTGCCATCGATGACATTCTGGAAACAGTTCTGATGGATGTGTGTAATGGCGGCGTGGATCTTTTGCTTCGAGAAAGACTTCTCGACCTTGAGTATGCGGACGATATTGTCTTACTGTGCGATAATGCCCAAGGCATGCAATCCGCACTTAATCAGTTGGCAATCAGTGTCCGTAGGTATGGTATGTGCTTTGCATCTTCGAAGTGCAAATTACTTCTACAAGACTGGCAGGATTCTAATCCTGTACTCACCCTGGATGGTGAGCAGATAGAAGTAGTCGAGAAGTTCGTGTATCTGGGTAGTTGCATAAGTGCTGGTGGGGGCGTGAGTGATGAGATCAATGCACGTACAGTGAAAGCCAGAGCGGCTTATGCCAATCTGGGCCACCTTTGGCGCTTTCGTGATGTTGGTCTGGCTGTAAAAGGCCGGATCTACAACGCGTCGGTGAGAGCAGTTTTGCTCTATGCTTGTGAAACCTGGCCTCTCCGAGTTGAGGATGTTAGACGACTCTGTGTGTTCGATCATCGTTGTCTCCGAAGGATTGCTGACATCCAGTGGCAACATCATGTTAGTAATGCAGAGGTTCGGCATCGTGTGTTCGGGTACAGAGACGATAATGCAATTGGTGTCACCATCTTGAAACACCGACTTCGGTGGCTTGGACATGTTCTACGAATGTCGTCACAGAGAATTCCACGTCGTGCATTATTTGCCGACTCTGGGACCGGTTGGAAGAAGCGGAGAGGTGGTCAGTGCATGACATGGTGTCGTGGCATGAAAGAAAGCTGCAAAGGACTGGCTTGTGTTGGTCCTTCACGACTCCCTGGTTGGGGTCCGAGAGATGGTGCTACACAGTGGCTAGAGACGTTATCAGATATGGCTCAGAATAGAAGCCAATGGCGATCCTGCTGTAACCTTCTTTTACTTTCTTCATAAAAAGTGGTTGTGTCTCTTTTACCTGAAAGATTTCTTCTGATTGTACCTTTTCGTTCCCTCGTTACTACCACACTACCTTACCCCAATCTCTTCGTTATTGTTCTCTTTTTTACGCTCCTTACCTTGTTTCTTCTTCTTTCTCTTTAAATTCTCATTGTTTTGTGTGGCGCATATATATTGGCGCTCTCTTGTACCAATATTCATGTGTTCAAATAAATAAATAAATAATAACTTAATAAACAAAAATGCCTTAATCTGCATTCTTATTGAAATGAAACGAATTTAACTGGTTCAGGACACAGACTGGAAAGCTACCAAAAATCCGCATAAGCAAGTATTCTTTACATAAAGAGAGTAAACTCACCCTACACCAGGAAGTTGAATATTTGTCACCACTTATATCGGAAGATATGTAAGAATCAGTTTTCAGTAATTCGTTGATCTCCTTCATAAGACATTTAGGATTAGGTCGCTTTACTGCATCGAACTTTAAGCAACATTGAATAAGCTGAACCAAGATGTCCAGGTCAGCAGATATAACATTCAGATGAAGTTGTAAAAATTCAGGTAATGTTGGATATTCATTCGCCTGACAAAGACCCCTTAGATACAAGGAAATTATTTCAGCTTCTTTCATATTTTCACTCCGAAGTTTAAGTAATGGATTAGTGAATTCCCTACCAAATATTGTCTCAAAAAATATGACGCCTAAAGACCATACGTCTGCTTTTATATTTGTCCAGCACATATCAGATTTTGTTGAACGTTCTGGTTGACATGAATTATTGGCTTGATTGTATAAAAATAAAAATACCTCAGGAGCAGAATACATGAGACTGGGGAAGGTAAAATCAGCTAGATTTCCCCAATCTGTAGCATAATAAATTCCGTAGCCTCCAATTTTTACACGTCCACCAGAATCAAGCATAATCATATCAGGAGTCAAACAACAGTGCACTAAACCATTGTCACTCATAAAAGATAAGGCAGATAAACATTCACTAAAGCGTTGTGATAACCAATTAACGTCAGTGACGGGACCACTGAAGTTAGAAAAACTTGTGCTGTAGTACTCACAGACAACTGATAGTATTTCTCCCTTCTCTCTGACAACATCGAGATACTGACACAAGTTATGATGTTTGATATGTAATAGCCGACGAAACCTTGCATAGCATGTCACTGACACGGGTAATCTGGGCAAACCATTAACATCCACTTCAGTAAGACCGGACAATGACACCGGAATTTGTATTACGCCTATTGGAAATCCCAACGAAGAGCTGCTGAGAGGTGGTTTTTCCATGAGCCGAAACTAGAATTTAAGAAAAAAGTAAATATTTATAAAGCACGGAAGTAAATAAATTTTTAACTTGATATACCTATACCAGAAAAACAATCTTTAATGTTTATTCCAAATGATCAAACAAAACTAGGGTGATTTATTACAAGTTAGGTTAGTGCTAATAGATAGCTGTCATTAACATCTACTAAGGATATCTTGACTTATTTATTCTCTTTAATAGAATAGTTCAGAAATGCTAAATTACAAGAAAATTCCATAATAAAAAACTGACCAATTTATGTCTACCGGGTAACCATGAGAAGAAAGTGATTAAAAATACAAGATGCCAGAGGTCCTCATTGGTGGTTTCCAAACGTGACTGCTGTTTTAACTTGGTGGTTGAACCAATCTACCGTGATGGCACGATTAGGTTACATAAGCTTAAACAATTGTTCCTTCCGGTTTTAGTATGCCGGATAGGTCGGTCGAATACCAAGAAGATCAAAAACATATAACCTAAAGTCTGATGGCAATGTCTTACTGAAAACTATACTGGAATCTAACCAGAAGCAGTGTTTTTAGCGAATGACTGGCATATCCAATGATTTTGAATTACTAAAATATAATGGGGTTAAGAATGTCGACTGCAAAATTGAGCAACACACCCCTCCATAGAGATTTATGGTGCAGGTGCCAATGGTTTAAAAGTACAGAGCTAACATATCTAACAGCTGCCACAACTAAGATAGTATGTAACCGACCTCAAGTAGCTATTTCGTTGAGTCAGTCACGTTCCAAGGCCGTCAAGGTCACTAATCCAACCTCTTTAGATGCATAAAAAGATTTCTTTTCAAGGGGTGAGCTGCCGACTCACATACGTTCAGATTCAACCAAGCATATCATCTTGTTCAGTTTATTACGCACACTGTCGTTGCTAGCAACTTGGTTACTAACTCATGTGATCCAGTCGATACAGTCTACCGCGGAATCTTTCTCCGTCGAATGGGATGCTCGCACAAACTCCTCACACAGTCACTTTCAAATTTTAAGTAGCAAAATGTATGCAGAAGGAAGCCAGCTTTCATACATTGTGGTGGTTGTGGATTGCGAATTGGTTGATAATACCCCAATCTCCCTATTTTGGAGTTTTCCCCGAAGTCGTAAGGAATATGGTACTTTTCTCCAAATTTTAGGGAAAAACCCAAGTGTTATAAGATTCTGTGAAAACATTGAGGAAAACCCTAAATTTCCTCAAACATTTTGGGGATTTTTCCCAGACGTCAGGAGATTTTAGGGTTTTTGTGTCGCTTCCTCAAAGTTTTTAATTGCAGTTTCCCTAAAATTTACCCAAAACGGACAAAATCTTCTATAAAATAGGAAAATTGGGATTCTACAAATTATTATGACTAACTCACCAGAGAAAATACGTAGTTCTAAACAGGTAAAGTAGTAATCAGATCCAAATGATCCATCCCTAATACCTGACAGTACATAGTTGAATAAGTCTTAGGATCATTGTGCCTTTAGCAAATATGAAGGGGATTTAAAACGCCTGACGTTCAACCACCAGGTTCCAAATATGAACCTAGCTTTACTTCAGTTTATGCAGCGGTTATGAATATTACCTTAAACAGTGTAGATTAAAGCCAAAGTACAAAGTTGAACTTGATTGCTGATTAGAATGAGCACGGACTTCCGAAAAGCCTTAACGTCCAAGTCCACCCAAAAATCGAGATCTCTAAAAGTAAAGGACCTCTGAGAATTTATTGATTTACTAAAAGATTTTAAAAGCTGGTACAACACATGCTGCTTTGGAGAACTGGACCTGTCATAAAGTTTCATAGTGTGCCATTTCTCCTTAGCAAAACTTCTTATAACAACTTTACGCCATATCTTTGTAAACCAGAGCTAACAGTAGATCCATAGAGAGCTAAGCTAGGCGTCATTTTCGGCAGGTCATACTGGCAGTCTATTAAGCAATTTGTCAATAATCTAAATCAAGAAAACAGACAGGATTCCTCATTAGGATCAACAAGACTGATATTAGTATAAGTAACGTGGAGGCGCCTTAGTTTTGAACGAACTAAACACTACATAAAATAAAATTGAATGAAAAACTTTTTGCAGATGATTTAATGTTTTGGAAAGAGGTCTAAAACCAAGATAGATTAGCGCTGCAGTAATATCCAACTCGACTTCGAGAATGAGATAAGAATGAATCAACATCTAACTCTGAGGGGTAGTCCATCAGTGGGATAATGTAAAACACACGTACAACAAATAATTCTTTATTAATATTCATTAACAGGAAACGATTTAAGTGTCTTGGTTCCTTATGATCTAGAATTGTATGTTAACTTTGATGAAAATGCCGTCATAGCCAACCTTTCACTAGCAACTTTGATGAGTATTTTTGCCGCTTAGATGGCAAGCGTTTTCACGTAATTTTACAGTTCTATGCAGCCTCAATTAACAAAAGAATGATGTTTTCTCTTTCAACAAAAAGGTTCATTTGGAAAGTATTCAAAGTTTAAAAATACTGCGTCAATACCTCTTGCAATAAATAATACTGAAACGCGACCTCAAAGTGACTAAAATCACAAAATCTCATTTAACATTCCCTGAAGCAATTACCTGAGTTCAACTTCGATACGAGACGTAGAGGGGACATTCGTACGTCAGATGGAGCCTAGTTAGAAAACTTCTATTCCGACCAAATCCATTCACACTATCTGAATTGATATGGATGCATTTGATGCTGAACGCAAAACCACCAGACTATAATAGACCCCATGATTTTAAGATGAGATGAAAAAATGATTCACAGTTATTCTAAGAAATTTCCAAGGTATGCACTGACGCTCTGTACGAATTAGTCCCACTAATTCCCAACATTATAATACATAACATTCGGTGCTTTATAGCACTCCCATGCAAAACATATTATAAATAATTATTTATAATATGTTTTGCATGGGAGTCAAATGAGTCGTGGATCGCTAAGATACAAACGTCACTGACTGCGTATTTCACCATATCCAGCGTATATACCACGTAAATCTTACAACAGATGTATCGTTCACTCTGGGAGGTTTTTATCTAACTTGAATATACGCATATGTGCTGAGGTGTGAGGAGTAGTATACTGGTAAGCACTTACGTTCAATAATGAAAGTGACTGACAATAATTAATGATAACTCAAACGTTAGCTTGACATAATCTGATATTCAAGACAAGACGTTAATAGTGTACAATTCCGAATACCTTTGAATTTCACTCCCAATGTTCAAGTTAGCTATCGCAGTTGTGATTGGTTCGGTTCAGCTTCTCCTTCAAAATACTCACTGATGGGGCTGATACCACTTGTTCGATTAAGGCGTTCCAGTCATTGACTTCTCGATGAGAAAAGCGGGACACCACTTTAAGTTTAGATCGCGGTTTGTGGACTTTCTTGCTATGACCTCGGAGACTATTAGTGCTGGGGGAAGCAGAAATATAAGACATATTACCACCTAAATCATAATTAAGAATACGGAGTGCCAGTATAAGGTAACCTCGTATCATACGATACGACAAGGGGAAAAGTTTTAGGCGTTTCAAGCGCTCATCATAAAGGAGTTCCCACACGCTGAACACGCTCAAGTAAGTTAGTATCCTTTATCAGACATAGGTTAGCTGCTGGGATACAGTACTCTAAGTGTGGTCTAACATAGTTGGGATATAAAATTTGAAACATTTCGTCGTCAAAGCATCTGAATGCTCGGCGAAGTGACCATAACGCACAATAACCTATGGCAACAGTTGCGTTGCAATGCGTAGTTGTTTCCAAGTTATGATTTATTCTTACTCCTAAGTCTTTATGTTCTTGAACGCGTGGAAGTGATGTACCGTCATTAGTATAAAGGTAAATATTGCCGTGTCCTATGTGCATGAGCACACTCTTCCTAGAATTACATTCTAAGCCCCAACTTCGAGCCCATCTAGCTGATTCATCTAAGTCAGCTTGGAGATCAAAATGTTCAGCCTCACTTCCTATTGTTCTCCAGATCTTGACATCATCCGTAAACAATAATGCCGACGACTTAAGCCCTATCGGTAATTCGTTAACATACAGAAGGAAAAGTAGAGGGCCTAAGATGGTGCCTTGGAGTACACCACTTTTGACCGGCTTTCATTCGGATAGCGTTCCATTGACCCTCACCCTCTGTCTGCGTTCACATTAGAAGTTTCCCATCCATTCCTGTACAGCACCTGTAGTTCCGGAGCTCCAGGGCTTCTTCATAAAACATGAGTGTGAAACCTTGTCAAACGATTTGCTAAAATCTATGAATATCACATCGACATACAGTCCTCTCACGCAATCAGTAAGTTGGTCAAGCATGAACGCTTGTCACAAAACCCATGTTGCTCAGGAGTTAACAGACTGTGTGAATCTATGTGACTTAGTAACTTAACCCGAATCTTCTTTTCAAGTAACGACTATGATGGTTAGACTGACAGGCCAGTAGTTAGACACGATCTATCCCTGATCATTCTTAAATACAGGACTGAACACAGCGTCTTTCCAATCTCTATGGAGTTGAGCGAGTGAAAGGGACATGTTCAAGAGCTTCACGAGCGATCCTTAAATAATTTCTGCAAGAGATGACAGCAGCCGTAGATGTAACCCGTCAGGGCCCGGTATCTTTTAAGGTTTGATGTTAGTTATCAATGGAAGAACAGTTTCCTGAGTCACATGCACAGATCTTATGTCTGGTATGTCGGTGTGATTGGGACAAGTATTTGTAACAATACACGTAGAGTACACTTCGCTAAAATAGTTTGAAAATGTATCAGGTTTTGCCCGATATGATTCAGCTAGTAAATCTGAATTTTCGTGTGCCAGTAACGGGTGAATACCATTACTACGTTTTATTCGCCGTTTAACATACGAAAACAATCGTTTCAGACAAGAACGGCTATAATACACCAACTGCCGTTCGTAAGTAGTACGGGATTTAGTTATGGTTTCCTTACAAATATTCCGGAATTTTCGGTACTGACGCTTAAATGATGCGTTACCTGTCAACAAAAATAAGTCCTAGAAGTGCTTTCTACGCTTTAACAGTTTCCAGGTTACCTTTTAATCCATGGAGGGGATGTGATAACTTACGTACTGACCATGGGATAAACAGTGACGCTACGGACTCGAATGCAGCCTTAAACTTATTTCATTCATCTTCGATCGATGCATCCGCGTCGACCGACCAATCAGTAGAGATAGAAAAGTCTCTGACTGCCGGAATATTGGCTCGCCAGACATTGGGACGGGGTGGAGCAGATACAAATCGTATACCATATGTCCTAAATTTGAAGTAAAGTACAATGCGATCACCGTTCACTAGTGGGGGAAGGTGCTGTATATCAAATACATCCTCACAGTTGTGGGTGAGGGCAGGTTCCAGAAGCGACGGACCATGTTTCAAGTCAGTATGTGTCGGTTTTGCGATACATTGTACAAGTGCACACTGAATAATAGTTGATAAAATGTTGCTATCAAAGCCACCACCAGGAGATGTAAGCTCTATCCAATCGATATGTGGTGTGTTGAAGCCTCCAATGATGAGACAGCATTCTGCCTTACTCCAAGAACAGATATGTCTTAAGATAAAATCGTTAGCAAGACAACACGGACTATGGTATATTCCTCCTATAGTCCCTAACCCATTTCTAGATTCAATTTTACAACATGCTACCTCACAAGTACCACTAACATGCGCCTCCGATATGACTGATTGTGTGTAAAAGTGATCCCTTACGTATAAAATTATCCCTCCCCCATTGCAACTTAAAAATCTGTTACTTCTAATACAGATATAGCCTGTAGTGATGGTAGAACATCATATATCTACGGTGAACCAAGTTTATGTAACAACGATTAAATCGTGACTTAATTCATCCACCATCAGACTTGGCTCGGAGGTTTGATTTCTAAGACTACGGGCGTTCGTGTAGCACACACTTAAGGTGTTTTGGGAATCATTCGTTCTATTCATACAGGCCTCGGAAGCATTGGCTTTCAAGACCTGACTACCCGAAAACCCTTAATCGCAAGGATCGTTTCGCCATATAGGTTTCGAGTTCTTAACTCCGTTACAGCGTTTCCCACTTGATTCGATCTTCAGGCTGTCAATCTGGTCGGATACGAATATCTGAATCACGAGTTTTGTGTGCGATATTCAATATTATATCTCTTTCTTCAAAATTCCCGAGAACCAGCTTTAAGATTCTTCTTGGTTGGGTATCACTTTCAACCCATTAACCGAGATCGTATCCCTGTCTTTTAGCAGGATCATTGTCTTCTCCTCTAGATTCCAAACATCTAAAATAGGAACGGGTTTCACTTTTTTGAAAGCCGTGTTCACGCCTTTCCACCGCGATGTCAGATCCCGCCTGTTAACTGCTGGCATCTTACCATTAGTTTTCCTCGTAACAGAGTCGTATAAGTCGAGC